ACGCGCTATGAATCACAGCGATTCACAATCTCGATAACTTCGCTCTCGATGAGTGCAAAACACACACTTTACGGCTCACTAGCTCGAAACTAACAGAATCATAAATTACACGGAACTTAAAGTAACTACTGCTCTCTTCATTCATGCCCGCTGGCTTTCTCTGCCAGGCTTATATACTAACGAAGATGGCATCTCGAACACACTCGGACTTCCCCGATCATTCGAGAAACTCATCACGCATGCGCCAGCAGTGACACGTCACTTCCTCTGTCGTAACAGCTCTTTTTGTTTTGTTTTTTGCTATATAGGGTCCCACAGTCTAAAGAAACATAGTAAGTTGTGTTTTTGCTCTCCATTGGTTCTGTAAATGTATTGGTGCATTTTAGCTGCTATTGTATTGTGTTATAGCTTCTGAATTCTGCTTTGATTTTACGATGTTTGCATATCCTATGTTTTAGAGAAACCTTAGACATAATGTTGAGGTAGGTGGCTCTATAGTTGAGGTACTTACTAATATCTATGGGTTTCCTGTAAACTAATGATAATGAGTTGTGTTTTGGTCACCACCATATCTAGGAATAGAAGGTTACCTTTTTCTATTTCTGTTGTGAACTGTTCCTGGAAGTTCTGTTCAAGTAATACGTGAACTTGTATGTAGTGTACAACCAGAATATAGATGCATAATTGTCAGTATATATGAACCAAACCAGGGCTTATATAGTGTGTGTTTTAGTGGTGTTACTTTCAAAATGTTCCATGTAAAGGTTTCTGAGAACTGGTGTTGGGGTTAGTCTATGGCTGACCCTTCTTGTTATTGGAAATAAGTTGTATTTATGCAGAAAGTTGTGAGTTCTGTTATTATGGAGATTATCGTTTGGGTAGGTTCTTTCAGAGTTCTATCATTTTAAAGCTGTTGGCAGAGTATCCAGTGTTTTAAGGTTTGGCATATTACTGAATAGGTTGGATACATCAAAATTGATCATTGTTTATTGTGAGGTTGTCGTGGTTGCTTTTATATTATCCATAAAGTGGTTAGTACTTAACATGTAAGGATATTTTACTACTGGTTATTTTATTCACATAGTTATCGAGCTTATGGGTGAACAGGGTAAACCTCTGCATCTAGCTATAAGACAGAGAATAAATTTGCTTGTGGATTATAGGTAAACCTTAGAGGTGCTCTGATGTACTGTTAGTGTTAGTTGTGTGGCAGTTTCTGTTTCAAGTTCTTGTTGATGTTTATTGAGGAGTTGCTTAATCTTTTTCGGTGTTGACTGTTAGATTCTACTTAGATTCTTTTTCTAGTGGCTATCTTCAACTACAGTTTGGAGCTTAATGGCATATTCTTCTTTTCCGGTATTGTTGTGGCATTACCACTGTCTGATGGTAGGATTCTCATGGTGTTTTCTTTTATAAGTTATCTTGTAGGAGGGTAGTGTTATAGTTGGGTTTATACTTTATTGCTTTCTGGACAGCTAACTTTAATTTGATTCACAATTCTATTTCTTCCTCAAGTAGATTGTATGATGCAGTTTCTGTAGTTTTAGCTCTATCTAGAGTCGATATTTGTGGTGTTAGGGGAAAGTCTTCCTTTACTTAGAATACTTCAAGTTCTGGTAATGGTCTACATAAGTTTATTGCTGCATGTTTAGAAGTGATGAGTGAATTTAAATGATGTGAATATCTTTAGTAGTAATGAGTGTGTACGGGTTGAAATTTGTAAAGCTGTGCACTTCTTTATAGATCATATGACAAATTATTTTCAGATATATGTTACTTTGTGTCTTGTGTTTATGTGGTTATATTTCATCCTATCTTGATATATAGTTTTATTCAATTTCTGAGTCAGTCTTATTTAAGAATTGCGTTATGCAGTCCACGTTTATGAAAGAAGATAGGATTGTCAGTTTTAACTAAATTACAGTTAAGTTTCTTTTCTTTTTACTTCCTAAATTCCTTATATAATCCAGGGCCACACTACTTAGTTTAGTACTCCCATTAAGATTGTGATCAGAAATAGGCTACTATGCATGTAAACAAGTTATATTCAGTTGGCAGAACCTTCATGTAAGTACTTAAACTACGAATATGTAAGCTGCTAATGCAGATTTTAAAAATATGACATCTTGTCCTGGTGAAACATTCCAAAAGAAATGTAATGAATCAACACTGTTAACTGGCTATGATTCTGGCTCTCCTGTTGTAAGCTGTTCAGCGTTTTTGTGGTTGCAATTATCATTTAGACAAATATTATTAATTTGGTATTTGGTGTGTCACGGGTGAAAGTTCTGTTGCATAACCATTTCATAACAAGAACATATAACATATTTAGTTGAGTATGTTCAAGATTTTAAAAATTTCCATGGAGGTGTACTGCACTTAATTGATATATTTGTAAATAATATGTTAAAGGTCATAATCTTGTACCAGTCATCTATTTTAGACATAACACAATGCCAAGTGATTGTTCAGTAAAGTCTTGTGCTTACTTGTCCTTGCTCCTGTACATTACTCCCCTGGAGTGCAAGTTGTAATCTACTAGGACTTTGTTATGATTGAACAGAGTGGCATATCACCATTCTTGCTCCATTCTCTATGTTATATAAAGATATATATTCAACTTCAACTCTAGCAGTCAGACAACTCCTGTAAATAACTAATGAAACTGACCAGTATAGTAAAATGAAAGACGTCAGCAACTGTCAGTTTGTTAAAATAAAGGATTTATATTTTTGTTCAAACACTTTTATTTGCATGTTTTCCTTTACTATCTGTGTTTATTTTTATTATTTTACAAAACATTCTGTAAAGCT